TCACCCCTTCCCTACCTAACCCCAACCCCCCAACCCCCACCCTACCCTACCCCTACCCTACCCACCCCACCCCACCCCCCCCACCCCCCCCCCCCCACCCCCCACCACACACACACTTGTCCATGTCAGCGCAGGGAAGCGGGAGCGCGTCCGAGGCGCTGTTGGACCTCTACGCGGCGCGGTGCAAGGACACTCACGCGACGTTCAAGCGTGACGACGCAGCGCATTGGCGGGAGATGATGTTCAAGCGACTGGGCGGTGCGGTGTGCAACCTCCGTGGGCAGCTGCTTGGCGTTCACTCGGCGATGGTTCTGGCCAAAGTCTTCCGCAATGCAGAGTATGCCGCCATGGACTTGTACGGCAACGTCCTCCGCGATGCCGGCACGGCCTCCATCTGCAAGCTCGTGCTGGACAACCCGAGGATCCGCGAGCTCAATCTTGGCTGCAACGACCTGACCGACAAGTCGGGGAGGGCTATTGTGGACATGCTCAAAAAGTCGACCTCGCTGCGGGTCCTGCACCTCGGCCGCGAGCCGAGCCACTACCACGACAACAACCTGACGGCGGCCACAGGCATCGAGCTCGCTGCTGTCCTCGCCGACGGCAACTCGTCGCTCACGGCGCTGACGCTCAACGGCAATGCCATCGGCGTTGGGCCGGACGGCCTCTCTGCCATCGAGGAGATCGGAAACATGCTGGTCTCGACCACCAGCCTCGCCACGCTGCACTTGGCTGAGAACGGTGTGTCTGTCCAGGGCGGACTGGTTCTTGCTCAGGCCTGCTCGCGCAACAAGTCGCTAGCGGAGCTGGACTTGCACGGCAACGCGTTTTCGCCCGACGTCGGCCTCGCGCTCGCGAATGTGCTGGCGACAAACACGACGCTCGCGGTACTCGACCTGGCGCGGTCAGGCATCGGCACCCGCGGCGGAGTGGCGCTTGCTGCGGCGCTCCGCGACAACGAGGCCCTGGTCTCGATCAAGGTCGCCGGCAACGACATTGGCGACGAGGGCGCCCAGGCATTTGCAGTTGCGCTCTCGGAGAACGACACGCTCACCATGCTCGACGTGGCCGACAACGGGATCCGAGTTGAGGGGGGGTGCGCTTGCGTCTGCGCTCGCTATCAATCCAGTCCTCATCTCGCTCAATCTTGCGGGCAACGGCATTGCCGACGCGACGGCAGAGCCGCTTGCGGCCTCGCTCGCGCAGCACCCGTCGCTCACCAAGCTCAACCTCAACTCGACCAAGATTTCGGACGTGGGTGGCGTGCTTCTTGCGCAGGCGCTTGCCGATAACCGAGTCCTCAAGACGCTCATGCTCAACGACAACTTTCTCTCCGAGACGGCCGGGCAGGAGATGGCGGCGGCGTTTAGCTCGAACGCGTCGATCACCAAGCTGGTGCTCTCGGGCAACCAGATTAACCACAACACGATTCTGGCGTTCCGCCGGCTGTGCGAGCGCAACCGGTCAGACATCAAGGCCACCCAAGTCCGCCCGCTCAAAAACGAGGTCATCCGGCTGCTCGGCCAGCAAGAACGACTGTGGGATGCCCAAAAGCAACTCAAGGCGCTGCAGGACGAGCGGGTCGGGCTCCAGCAGGAGATTCGGACCATCGAAGCCGACATGGCGTCGCTCAAAGCCGACGAGGACATGGCGGTCAAGATGCTTCAGAAGCAAATTGACCAGCAGAACGCCATCCTCAAGGAGGTCTCCGAGTCGGTGGCCGAGAAGGAGGCTGAGATTGCGTCGATCGACGACGAGTACGCTGTCAAGATCAACGCCGTCCAGTCGGACCTTGACGAGACGCTTGCCCGCAAGGAAAAGCTGACAACCGAGCTGGCAACGGCCGAGGCGGACGTTGCCGCGGCAAAGACCAAGCTTGTCGACGACGTCGCCGCCATTAAGCAGGCGATCGAGGATGCCAAGGCCGCACGCGCTGCCGCGCTCGAGGCCGCCGACGCCGCTGTCGCGCAGGCGCAAGAGTGGAAGGACGCACAGGCCAAGGAGCTCGAGGAAGCGCTTGCGGCCGAGGCTGCTGCTGCCGCCGAAAAAGCCGACAAGAAGGAGCGCAAGAAGCGTGCTAAGAAGGACGCCAAGGCCAAGCGTCTGGCAGAGAAGAAGAAGGCCAAGGAGGAGGCCAAGCGCAAGGCCGCCGAGGCCGCCGCCCGCGCCGCCGCCGAGCGCAAGGCCAAGGAGGCCGGCGCCGAGCTCTCGGAACGCGAGGTGCTTGAGACAAGAGTCGACGAGCTGCTCGGGCTCAAGTAACACGTAACGGTACGCTCACCCTACCGCGCTGTTGCGCCCCCTCATCGTCGTGGTGCTGCCTTTGGTCGAATCTGTCCACTCGGTACCTTTACGGACTAAAACACAGCTCACTTGACTACGCAGCCGGGCGCTTGATGACAAGCGCCGACGCACCGCCGCCGCCGTTGCAGATGCCGGCAATGCCGACCGACTTGCCCTCGCGAATCAGGGCGTTGAGCAGGGTGACGACGATGCGAGCGCCGGAGCAGCCGAGCGGGTGGCCGATGGAGACGGCGCCACCGTAGATGTTGACCTTGGCGTCGTCGAGGCCGAGCAGGGCCATGTTGGCGAGGGCAACGACGGCAAAGGCCTCGTTGATCTCGACAAGGTCGGCGTCGGCGAGCTCGATGCCGGCTCGCTTGCAGGCGACCGGGATGGCATGGGCCGGTGAGGTGGTAAACTTGGCCGGATCCTGCGAAGCGTCGCCCATGCCCTCGATGGTAGCGTAAACGGTGAGGCCGAGCTCGGCGGCCTTGGCCTCCGAGGCGAGGATGACAGCGGCGGCACCGTCTGAGATGGTCGAGGCGTTGCCGGCGGTCACGGTGCCGTCGCGCTTGAAGACGGTGCGGAGCGAGGGGAACTTGGCCGGGTTGAACCGGGCCGGCTCGTCATCGGCGTCGACCACGGTCTCGCCCTTGCGCGACTTGATGACGACCGGCACAATCTCGTCGGCAAAGACCCCGCGTCGGCAGCCGCGCGGGCACGCTCGTACGACTGGATGGCGTAGGCGTCCTGCTCCTCACGCGAGATGCCGTGCTCCTCGGCGCACTCCTCGGCGAGGCAGCCCATGGCCTGATCGCCATACGGATCCGTGAGCCCGTCCGACGCACACGAATCGCGGAGCTCCGAGTTGCCGTAGCGGAGGCCGCCCCGGGTCGCGGCAGGGAGGAGGAACGGCGCGCCGGTCATCGACTCCATGCCGCCGGCCACCACCAGATCGGACTGGCCGATGAGAATGGATGCAGCCGCCACGTGGATGGCCTTCATGCCCGACGAGCAGACCTTGTTGACAGAGGTGCACGGGACAGACGGCAGGATGCCGGCCTTGAGCGCAGCCTGCTTGGCAGGCGCCTGACCCACACCCGCCGAGAGCACATGGCCCATGTACACCTCCTGCACGGCCTCGGCCGCCACACCAGCACGCTCGAGTGCACCCTTGATCGCCACCGCCCCGAGCTCGGGAGCCGTCTGGGACGCAAGCGAGCCCGAAAGCCCGCCCATCGCCGTCCGGGCGTAACCCACGATGCAGACTGTGAAGGGGGGGGGGTGAGTGGGGCGGGGGAAGAGAGGAGAA